GCAGCCTGCAGCACTGCGAGGGTCCAAGTCTGCCCCACATGCACGTCCACCCCCCAAACCCGGCCACCTTTATATTAGGAACAGGCTCTGGAGCAGATTAGATTATCAGTTGTGTGCTAAAAGGAGCAGGGAGGGAGCAGCATCCCAGCATCCACACCCCCAGCATCCTGGTCGTGCCCACCCCCATCCCCTGGTGACACTTCCCCATGGTCCTGCATTACCTGCAAGGTTATCCAGGGTGAGCTGTCCCCCCGGATTGTGACCCTGCACCTTTAGGGCCCCTCACAGCCAGGAGCTGCTGGCTGCCTGGGGACCAGCTCTTTTGGGGAGTGCTGAGAGCCCCCCAGGAGCTATGCGGGTGCAATGGCCAAGCCACGCACCAAGCATCGCAGCTGGCAGAGCCTCTTGGGGCCGACACCACCAGCTGGGAGTGATGCACCGGGTCTCACAGCAGTTCTGGGGGGGCCACCAGCCCTGCACCCCCTGGGACAGGAGGGCAGGGACCTATTGGTGTGGTCCCAGGCTCCTTCCTCCCTCCTCCTTGCTGGCACCAAAACCACTCGGGGTGCAGCATCCAAGCCCCTGGGTCCTGCTCAGCCCCAGCCTGCTGAGCAGGTGCTGCCCAAAATTGCACACACAGCCAGGCCTTTAGTTCTCCTCTCCGGGGGGCTGGGATTGGGGCGAGCCAGGTGCCCCCATCACTTGCCGTTTACAGTTGAGACGCACGTGCCAGCCGGGGTGGGGATGCACAGCCCCACGCTGCAGACTTGGCCCCTCGGCCAGGGGTGCAGACCCCTTCTTCTGCCACATTCCCTCCATCTGCCCTCCCGTGACCTCGCCGCAGCCCCGTAGGCAATCCCGTAGTTATCAGAGCTTCGCGCTGACCCACTAACACCCGTGGCCATGGGGCCAGAGCCCTGTCCTGCCCTGCGCCGGGCTTGACCCTGCCAGATTTGTGCCAAACTTCTCCCAAAGGAGCTAGGGGGGTCACAGGAGCCGGGGCTCGCCCCGTCCCTCCTCCCTCCTGTCCCCAGTGATGAACGCAGCCTTAACACGGGAGGATGCTGAAGAAAGCGAGCCGGGGCACGGTTTACCTGCGGCTGAAGCCAGTGAGGGCTGGGTTGTTTGTTTTTTTTATTATTATTATTCTGTTTTACATTCGCAATTTAAATAAAATCGGTCTGGCTTTAGCAGCTGCGCCGGTGTCCGGGCTGTGCTGAGCAGGATGCAGATGGGGACTGGGGATCATAGAATCACAGA